TCTACCAAGTTTCGCTACTGAGTTTCTCTACGGAAAATCTCTTCCAAGGATTTCTGTCGAAGATCTTTACCAAGTTTCTCTACCAAGGTTCTCTACTGAGTTTCTCTATCAAGGTTCTTTTCCGGGGTTCTCTGCCGAGTATCTCTACCAAGTATGTCTACAAAGGTTCTCTACCGAGTTTCTCTACAGAGTTTCACTACCGAGTATCTCTGCCAAAAATTTTTGCCGATGATCTGTACCAAGTTTCTCTACCAAGGATCTCTACCGAGTTTCTCTACCAAGGTTCTCTACCGAGTTCCTCTACCGAAGTTCTCTTCCGAGGTTCTCTCCGCCGAGGTTCTCCACCGATTATTTCTACCAAGTACTTCTACAAAGGTGACAAAGGTTCTCTACCGAGTTTCTCTACCGAGTTTCTCCACCAAGAATCTCTGCCAAAAATTTTTGCCGATGATCTCTACCAAGTTTCTCCACCAAGGATCTCTACCGAGTTTCTGTACCAAGGTTCTCTACCGAGTTTCTCTACCAAGGCTCTCTGCCGAGGTTCTCTACCAACTATCTCCACCAAGTATCTCTACAAAGGTTCTCTACCGAGTTTCTCTACCAAGTGTCTCTACCGAGAATCTCTACCAAGGTTTTTTGCCGATGATCTTTACCAAGTTTCTCTACCAAGGATCTCTACCGAGTTTTTCTACCGAGGTTCTTTACCGAGGTTCTCTACCGAGTATCGCTACCGAGTATCTCTACCTAGGTTCTCTACCAAGTTTCTCTACCGAGTTTCTCTACCAAGTTTCTCTACCAAGAATCTCTACCAAGGTTCTCTGACGATGATCTCTACCAAGTTTCTCTACCGAGGTTCTCTACCGAGGTTCTCTACCGAGTATCTCTACCGAGTATCTCTACCAAGGTTGTCTACCGGGTTTCTCTACCGAGGTTCTGTACCGAGGTTTCTACCAAGGTTCTCTACCGAGGTTCTCCACAAAGGTTGTCTACCAAGTTTCTCTACCGAGTATCTCTACCGAGGATCTCTACCAAGGTTCTCTACTGAGGTTCTCAACCGAGATTCTCTACAGAGGTTCCCTACCGAATGTCTTTACCGAGTATCTCTACCAAGGTTTTCTACCAAGTTTCTCTACCGAGTTTCTCTACCGAGTTTCTCTACCGAGTTGCTCTACCGAGAATCTCTACCAAGGTTTTCCGCCGATGATCTCTACAAAGTTTCTCTACCAAGGTTCTCTAACCTCAGTATAAAAAAATATCACTACATGTAAATAATAAACTACAATATAATACTAAATACGACATGACTGGAAAGAATCAATAAAATTGATAACATCGCGAGTTCGCGAGCGACGCGAATAATCATAACATAGGGAGATGATATGACACACATTCGCGCCGCGTGCCCCTCTATGAGGGTTTCTAGTAAGAGCTTGGCGCCTGCGAAACTCGAGGTAGGCCACCCAGCAGTACGCGCGTGCACTGCAGACAAGATGTTGCCTACCTACCAGGCGTTATGAGAGCTTGCGGATGCTGAACTCGGCAGGTTCGTAACGACGACTGGCGAACTTACTTTATGGATGGTCGCTATCTCACGCTCTCGGCTGTCCTCACCTCCAGGTACGACAAGTCGGTAGATATGGGCCCACAGTAGGCCGCCCTGAGGGATTCCACGGCCTCCGCCACCGTACGGCACGACCCCTCCAGGATGCCGCCGGGGCTGACTGCGTCTTCCGGTCGCAAGCCATAGCGGCTCACGTCCAGTTCGGGAACGGCACTGTCGAGGCAAGGATGTCGCAGTGTCAAAACGCGTGGTCAAAACATGATGACGTTCATTCGGCTAGCCCCGCCGTGTCGCACTCACGCTGGTTCCGAGAGCCGGTACGGGTTCGTCCCGGCCACCTTGTGTCCATGGGTGCGAAAGGCTTCCACCAGGCGGTAGAAGTTGCTCTGTTTCACCCGCGCCTCTGTATTCTTCCTCTCCACTGCAACACAAAGTGCACCGATCCATCAACTGCTTCTAGTAAACAACCAGCCATGGTGCCAGCGGACTTAGGAAATGCGGTTTGGGCAGCCAGGGCTAAACTCTCCGAACGTCCAGCAGGTACTTCCCCCTCGCAATGCCAACTGAGTCGCGAGTTGTGATCGCGTGCGATCCCCTGCCGTCGGTAGAGTCCCCTGTGAATGCTACGCACGGCCCAGACCAGAGCGACACGCAGAGCGGGGCGGGGCGCGTCAACCCGGGGCCGCCGGCAATCAGATGATCAACAGATCCCCCCGCGCCACCGCGCCCCTCCCCCGCGGACCGTGTGACGTCACGGCCAGGCCTCTTGTGTCACAGCCACGGTTCGGGAGCGCGGAGGAGGACCAGAGCACCTCGGACAACGCCGAGGACGGTGGCAGCAGACAATGCTGCTGCCATGTACGGGCTTGCTGCCGCTCACGAGACTTACGCCGAGGAGTCATGCAGTCGGCACGACGTTGTCCGGGGCGCAGAGTAGTACGTACGTTGGAAGGGTTCCTCCCGGCGCGGCCTGTATCCGTGGACGCCTGTCTGGCAGTGGTACGCCCTGAGCCCCGCCTGATGCCGCAGCCGCTGCAGCTGCTGCCCCGCCTGCAGGTGCAGCTGCGGCGCTGCGGGGAGACGGCGACCCAGGGAGAGCATGCTTCTGGACCCAGCGGACGGTCTGTGCGGCCTGCTTCTCGGCGGGGCCCGGGTTGTTATCGGCGCCGGGACCTCTGAGTCTCTGAGAAGCTCTGTGGCCGGGCCGGCGTGCAGCGTCGTTCAGAAGGTTCAGGCGCAGTGCGGCGGCGAGGGGCGGGGAGGCGAGCGGGAGGCTCCCCAAATGTGACGTCCTTGGCTCCCCGTTTCTTGTTACTGTGCAGCCGGGAACGGGTCCGGATTCAGATCGGGTCGCGGGGCACGGCAAGAGAGAGGGCCTGTTAGTTGTCATCTCCGTCCCCTCCTCTCTCCTCCTTTGGTCCATCCAAACTAACGGGTCGGGGGCGGGCGTCGGGCGGGGGGTCGCGTTGTTGGAGGAGATGGGAAAGAGAAGAGAGGTATCAATACCGTAGAAAACGAGGTGCGACACGAAGCTCGCGCCCACTGTTACATCTGCGTGCGCATGGAAGTGTGTGTTATCACTCCATGTTAAACCAAAACGACCAAGTCTCTTTCGTGCGCCGGGCACAGTGATGGTCGCTGGATTTTTCATACATAATGTAGTCTCATACTGGTCCGACTTGGGATTCTCAATCTCGCTTTGCACTAGCAGACGACAGACAATACAACCTCATTGCAATTGGCACTAAAGAGACCCCGGTTCAGTCTGTTGTTGATTTCGCATTTATTTTGAATATAACTCGTCAAAATTCCTGACATCTTGTCTCTAAAATGTTGTCATCATCTATTAAAGCGGTAACATTTCTATTCTTAATTTTGTGCGATATTCCTCATTATAAGGGGTTGCTTTAAGCCATGTTAGCCCAGGGGTTATTTTGTGTTTTCTTGACTTCATTCATTTTGAGATATTTTGAGTTGATTTTCTAAATTCTCCTTATTATAGGTTGCTAAACAGTTAAAGTCTCCTACGTTGTCGGCCACAGAGCTATGTGATGCCAGCTTGAGACGCATTGAGAAAACCAAATCACTGAATGCTTTCATTACAGTTACTTCTGAAATTGCTCAAAAACAGGCAAAAGAGAGTGATGAAAGACATTCTAAAGGTAGAGTTTTTGTTCTTTTCCATGTAAATTTTGCTAGAATATTAACAGATTTTTTAAAACATTTTGCTAACAATGTTTGGGGATATTTGTTTGCAGGAAAACGTAAAGGTGAACTTGATGGGATTCCTATTGCTGTGAAGGACAATTTCTGCACTGAAGGAGTGCTAACGTCATGTGGATCACACATGTTATCAAATTTTGTCCCTCCATACAGTGCCACTGTAGTCTCAAGATTACATGATGCAGGTACAGTCATGGTCGGGAAGTGTAATCTGGATGAATTCGCCATGGGGTAAGTTTCTTGTTAAACTGCTTCCTAAGTTTTCTGAACTCTACATCATCAAATTACATCGCAGCATTGTTGAGTCCTCCTCAGATCAGGTACTGTTGATTCAATCTATGGTCCAACCAAAAATATCTGGGGCTCAGATATACCTTTTGAATTGTTGAACTCAATTCATAAGAAAGGAGGTGAAAGCTCTTCTACCTTGAACGTAAAACAAGGAGTTCTAGAAGAGGATTGGCATATAGCTGGTGGAAGCTCAGGTGGAAGTGCTGTGGCTGTGGCTACAGGATCATGCTTTGCGTAAGTTATATTAGGGGGTACATGCTATTAATATATGATTACCTAAAATTTATAAGTGCTTAAAAATATTTCCATGTGGCGTGTAGAGCTCTTGGATCAGATACAGGTGGCTCTACCCGCAATCCTGCTGCATATTGTGGTGTTGTCGGTTTGAAGCCATCTTATGGGCTTGTTTCAAGGCATGGACTTATTCCACTAGTCAACTCCATGGACGTTCCTGGCATCATTGCTCGGACTGTGGAGGATGTTACCTTAGTATTAAGTAAGTAAATAAACGTAAATCTCAATATTTTCCAAACCAATATACACATAACTTTTCTCAAGATTACTATATCCTAATGAAACTGTTTGGTGGTGCTAGATGCTATAGCCGGACCAGATGATCATGATTCTACCACTATAAAAAGACCACATAAAAAAATTTCTTTAGAAGAAACTGTAAATTTAAGGGGATTGCGCATAGGAATTCCCAAAGAATATCAGAATTCATTGATGTCCCAAGAAATGATTGAGGTCTGGAAATATGCAGCTTCCATTTTAAATGAGGGCGGAGCAACTGTTACTGAGGTATTGTTTATTTTCTTGTATATTTATTTGTCATCCTCTAAAGTAACTTGGAAAGGATTTATTTTAATCACAAGTATTACCGGCACACAAAATCTATCTTCCAGGTATCTCTGCCTCACACATCTAGTTCAATAGCATGCTATTCTGTACTAAATCAATGTGAAGTGGCCTCTAATATGGCTCGATATGATGGTCTCAGATTTGGAATTCGAGGTAAAGATACCTCTTCCACTGAACAATTGTATGCCGAAACCAGAAGTACAGGTTTTAATGATGTTGTAAGAAGCAGAATTCTGTCTGGCAATTATTTCCTCTTGAAAAGGTTCTTCCTCAAAATTAATTATTTTAATTATTTTATTCTATCTACATTCAGAATACACATTTTAAGTCACTAATTTGATAGATTGTCACATTGACTAATCTCAGATCTTTTTCCAATTAGAAACTACGAAAAGTACTTTGTTAAAGCCCTGAAAGTGCGTCGATTGATAAAAAGAGATTTTGATAATATATGGAACAATAATATAGATATCTTGTTAACACCAACAACTCTCAGTCAGGCCCCTAGACTGTCTGAGTTTAGGCAGCATGACAACCAGACCCAATGTGTTACCCAAGATTATTGTACTCAACCTGCTAACATGGCTGGTGAGTGTGTTCCATCATCTGTCATCTTTAGTAGATGGTATACTCCAGAAATTTTAATTGGTTTTTGCATTGGTGACACAGGTATTCCAGCAATCTGCCTACCTATCAGACTGTCTGCTGATGGATTACCTCTCAGTTTACAGTTGATGGCACCTATGTATGAAGAAAGTGTTATGATGAAAACAGCACTTTGGCTTCAACAAGCAGTGAACTTTCCACAGATTAGTCTCAAAATTTAATAAAGTAACAATTCTTCAATTATAGACAGTCTACAAAGGGATTATTGAGATCCATCCTTAAATTTAATTGAAATAAATTAACAATTGTGTTATAAAAAAAAAAGAACACATTGAAAGAGAAGTCTCTGCACACATGTTGATTGTAGTCCTGCTACCAAAGTTGTGTCAAACGTTACAAGGATTCTTTCATAAATTAATGTTTTGGAAAGTCCTTGGAACACACTTATAACAGTTTTTCCATATAACTGAGGAACAATGCTCCTCAAAAATATAAATACCATGAATCATGAATGACCTGTAGAGTCACTCAACTGTCCAGCCACCAGCCTAGAAACTCGATAACAAATCGCAACCCAAGTGAGAACACTGACTGCTCCTGTTTCTTCAGCTGGCCACGAGATAATTGAAGAAAATGGTGATAGCCAGTTCTCTGGCAGAATGACAACAGCCGCAGAGCGATAAAGGTAGAGAACAGTCAGCATAAATAGTGACTGAAAGAAAAGTTTCGTCAATCTACGGTAGCCCAAGAAGTAGGAGTGAAAATACAAGAAATTAACTTACCATTATTAAAGTGGCACCAGCCCCAAACATTACTTTAAATTTTAATCTGGTACTATTTATGGCCATTTCTAGAAAAAATATTTGATTATTTTTTAAAATGTAAACTCGAAGGTCAAGATGTATGTAAACTCATACTAACTTTCTCCTTTTAGTTCATCCTGCATTTTGATTAATTTTCTCTGAAGGCGGGCATGTTTAGCAAATTCATCTATCATTGATATTTGTGACATTTCTGTACGTATTGCTGCTATTTCCTTGCGGATGTTTACTGATCGATCGCTCTCACGAAAAACTAGTGATAGAACCTGAAACAACCAATTCAGATTTTTCCCAATGACAACAGTTTTACATGATGAGAAACATAACCTATATTTCAAGGTTTTGAGGATATTTGATCGAGTACAGCAGAAGGGACATAAAACTCACATATTTTATTATTAACTGCGAGAAACTGCTTATAACAGTTCCAATGGTTATCAGAATGAACAATGTCGTATTGACGTACATTTCGACTAACTAGTAAGAAAAACACTTTAGAGACGAAGCAAACAAACCAGCAACTGCTTCCTGAAATTAGTAGAAGGTGGTGCCTGTCAACCGGCAAGCAGGGCAGACGACACAACCTCAAATGGTTTCGCACTTCTTCTCGTCTTGCCCGTAAAGTTATTGTTGAGAAAGTATCGATTAGAGTTTACTAACACTACGGAAAATGAGAGTAAGTACGAATGTTGTTCTGTCATAAGCATTTTCCTGTTGATTTTGTGTGTTTTGTTATTAAGAAGGTTATGTTGTGTGTTTACAGTACTCACATTTACCATCATTCATGTTTCTCACATCTGTTAGAAAGTTTAGCAATAATGTTAGAGTGAGGTTTGCGCCAAGTCCGACAGGTAATTCTGTAGCTTGAGATATTTTATATTATACTTGACAATATAGAACAAATTGTTAACAGGGTTTTTGTTTAGGACGTCTTCACCTTGGAGGTCTTCGAACTGCTCTATACAACTTTTTATTTGCTAGAGTCAAAGGTGGAAAGTTTCTTATCAGGATTGAAGATACTGATCAGGCTCGTCTAGTTCCTGGAGCTGCAGAAGCAATTGAAAGAGATCTCCAGTGGGTAGGAATTGAAGCTGATGAAAGCCCTTCTCGAGGTGGAGGATATGGGCCTTACATTCAATCTGAACGGCTAAGCCATTACAGGTGCTAACAATATCTAATTCCATTGTTGATTAATCAGCTGTAAGTGTCTTTTGTGTATTTGACATTTATTGAGCTTGTTGCACTCAGGACTGAGACAGAAACTCTCATCGAGAAAGGTGCAGCTTACAGATGCTTCTGCACGGACAAAAGGCTGGAACTTATGCGCAGGGATGCAAATCGAAGAGGTGCTGTTCCACGGTATGACAATCGATGTCGGGATCTAAGTTCCAATGAAATTGCTGAAAAATTAGGAAAAGGGATGGCATACTGTGTCCGCTTCAAAGTAGGTGACATTTGTCTGTACTTTTAAAGCAAAATCAAGCATTTAGTTTATGTAAGAAATTCTTGCAGCTTGAGAAAGGACCTGACACTTTTGAAGACATAATATATGGCAAAATAGTATTAGATACAGCTTCAATTGAAGGGGATCCTGTTATATTGAAGAGTGATGGATTCCCCACCTATCACCTAGCTTGTGTTGTTGACGACCACTTGATGGAAATATCACATGTTTTAAGAGGTGTAGAATGGCAAATATCAACATCAAAACATCTGCAGCTGTACCGGTAAAATACTCTTTGATCCTTACAGACAAGACATACAATTTATGAGATTCTAATTTTTTTCATGTTAATTTACTGTATAGGGCATTTGGCTGGAAGCCACCACAGTTTGGTCATTTACCCCTTCTAATGAATCCTAATGGGACAAAGCTCTCTAAGCGTCAAGGGGACATTGATGTTGAACATTTTAGAAAATCTGGAGTGTTTCCTGAAGTTCTTCTTAGTTTTGTGACAGAGTTTGGAGGAGGATTTACAAGAGAGAGAGGAATAACTTCTGTTCATGATGTTGAAAATCTAATTAAACAGGTCTGTAAACAATCAGTATAAACAAGAATTTTGTTATCTCTGTAACAGGTTTTAAATGCTTCTTTTTGTTTTGTTTTATAGTTTAATTTACAATCCCTAAACACCAGTTCTTGTAAAGTTGATCTAGAAAGGTTAATCCGTCTGAACCGCTTAGAGATGGAGAGGAAGCTCCAAGACCCAGAAAGTTTAAAATTACTATGTAATCAATTGAGAGATCTTGTACTCCATCACTATGATGAACAGTAAGATATCTGCAACAAAGCATCTACTCTTAAGTTTATTTTTTCAGTGTTACTTCAGGAGTTTGTTTGTTTTAGAGTGGAATCTAATTCTCCTGCCATCTCGGATGAAAGACTAACATATCTTCTTCAATGGGGGCTGCCTCGAATGTCACGCCTTGAAGATTTTTTTAGTTCTGACCTTAACTATCTCTGGTCAAAACCTTCACTTACTGTTCTATTGGATATTGTTAAGGATTCGCCACATTCGATTGCAGGTAATTAGGTGATTTTCTATCTAATTTTATTTCTGAATTTTTTGTACTGGAAATAGTCAAAGGTGTTTCTTTTTTAATTACTTATTTAATTATTTTTGCAGATGTTTTAGAAAATATCTCTTCACACATTATTCAGTTATCTGCAGAGGGTAATGCCAATATTGTTGCTGCAATTAAGGATATCTGTAATTCTCATGACGTTAAGTACAAGGTAGTTATGAAAGCTCTACGAGCAGCATTAAGTGGTCTGAAGGTAAGAAATGTGCTTGTTTGGATATCTTTTTTCTTCATACGCAAGGAAAGGGATTCTTTGTGCCCCTTTGTGCTACCCATACTTAGTAAATGTCATAGCCATTCTTTTCTCCCAGGCTGGGCCTCCAGTTGGAGAAATAATCGAGAACCTTGGAGTTGACGAATCCTCACACAGACTGCGACTCGCTGCTGAGGCCCTGAGGAGCGTAGCGCATTGAAATGATCTAGCTAGTCATAGCTTTTTGTCAACCATAGGAGTCAAGAGAAGTAAAGATTTTACCAGTAATTAAATTCACATTTCATGTGACTCGTAGGCATAGTCAGCAGACGAGACCCCGCACCTCTTTCCTTCATGTCCTTGCATAATAGTGCACCATGACGCAGAGACACACCCTCAACTCCTCACGCAACCTCCTGCCTGTCAAGCCCCGCCTCTCGCCGGCGCCCGCAGCACCCCTGCTACTTCCCTGCAACTTCCCTGCAACTCCTCGGCAACTCCCCTGTACCTCCCCTGTACCTCCCCTGTAAGTACGACGCCCCGCTATAGCATCGCAAGACACCAGCTGTCGGGTTCTTGAGCCACTAGGCACGTTTCCGTCGCTCAGCGAATGAAGCAGAGTGGTACCTACTTCCAGTCGCCGAACGAGAAAAAGAAGAAATCTCTAAAGCCCGCCGCCAGAAACAGAGATGCTGGAAGTAGCCCACATCCCAGCCACCCCCACTCCCCGCTCCCCGCCCCGTACTCCGCGCGCTCCCTTCCCGACTCGTTAGGGTCGAACCGCTCTCCCGGCTCGACGCGTACTCATAAATAATATCAAACGGGCGAGGCGCGCGGAGCGGGCCGGGGCCAGGGAAGCGCCGCGGTATATTTGGAAAAGGCTGGGGGTTGTGGTGGCCTCGAAAGCCAGGGCGTTGAGCAACCTTATTTGGAGACGGGAGGGCGATTGAACGGGAAAGCGAGGACGCATGGAATGACGCTTTGCCTTTTGTTTTCCGTAGAAATTCTCGTCAGTCCTATAATGGTGCTACTCGTAAGTTTCCCCGTTTGCCGGCGCTCCTGAGTGCCTCTTGCGGCCAGTAGCGGCAGCTGGCGGAGGTGGCCCGTGGGCGCTCCCGCCCCCTCCCCAACTCCTCCGCACTTCCCTCGTTTTCATTCCTCCCACGCCCCTTGCATTGATTCAGCAGTAACTTCATTCGCCGCCCGAGTTCACTGACAGGCTCCCCCGGTCGGCCCCCCGTGTCCTTGGGGAGAGTGGATGGATAGCCCCCCCCCTCCTCCACGGCCACCAAGAAGAGGGCGTCCCGCCACACAGAACAAGGAGCACTCTCTTCCCCCGGACTGCCCTCTTTCCCTTGTGTGCGCGGGTCGGGTGTGGGAGTTTAGTTGGGAGCGCCCTAGCACGGCCGGGTAGGCAACCCTCACACAGCCGTGCGGGCGCGTTGCCTACCCGCTGCCCGCGTCTACCCACGTCCAACCGGGATACATCATCCAGCCACATCACCGACCCCCCTTCCTGCCATTCACTGGGCCTCGAACGCGAACCATCCGTGCTCCTTCGACTAACTGGCAGGAGCAGAAGCACTCTCTTTCATGATACGTGTCCATGTTGTTTGAGGTACTTTGTATCCGGTACTGAATCCCGTATTTCTGCGAAAGGGCGAATTATGAGTTCGGAGCCCTCTTTGAGGACTGTCAGCAAATCCAACATAATTCAATAATTGTTAAAAATATCCGTCGATTTTACGAGGTGGAAATTCATGAAAATAGACTGAAAGTAACGAATTTGACTCGTGAAATTGGGAAAGGGGGGGGGGAGGTTTGTCGAAAAGCGACATCGCCCCGCCCGTCAGATAGACTTAAAGTCGCCCCTGTTTTACGATGTGCCCCTTATGTTTCCCCCTCTCTTCTGATCGGAGAGGTGTGCGTCTTGTAAGCGCCTTACCACGGCAGGATAGGCAACCCTAACACAGCCGCGTGTGCGCGTTGCCTGCCTGCTCCTCGTCCGGGGCACACACCCCACCCTTGCCAGCTCTACTGCCGCCGTTCTGTGCCGCCAATAAGCACTGAGCCCTGGTGTTTCGCCACCGTGATACCCATCTAGCAAATCTGCCAGGTAATTCCAGTCCGAACTTTTCGGATCACGCCATCTGTTTATTCCAATATTGTGGCCCTGTGGCGGCGTTGGGGATACCGTCGTCGATACGGTATCAAAACAGAGCGACTAAGAGGCTTAAGGTGATACAGGACTAAAACTGGAAAAGTCCGTCAAAAAACGGCTTTTTTGAGTTTTTATCTTCAAAAAACGTGTCGCGCCCACAGTTACGTTTAATTATAGACATATTATACCTTAAAAGAACCGCAATAAACTAACTCAGAATGAAATAGAGAGCTTTTTCTTGATATAATTCGCATTTTGATTTTAAACTCAAAATAGCGGTTATTTGAAGCACTTTTCCAGTTTCAGTCCTGTATCACCTTAAACGAGATGGAACCAGGCCAGGCAAGATGATTACCGTTTCTGTTTAGTATCACCAGAGGCCCGCTGTTAAAAATGATGTAAGGAAGTACAGTTTTCCTCCGGTCCGTCCTGTATATTTTATGTACAAGCCAGACCGTAATGAGAAGGACCGTACTTCAGTATCTAAGTCAAAGTGCTGTATTGACCAAAAAGACCGTTTGCGAAGTTACGGTACATCCTGAATGGAGTGGACCGTAATCCAAAATTACAGTCGCGGACCTGTATGTTTTGCTAACAGTGCCTGAGGCCTATACCAGGTGGCTGACTCACGCCACGCACTTTCGTATTTATACTGTACGAGGGTGCGCGGCGTGAGTCAGCCACCTGGTATTTTGGCTCCGTGTCAGTTCTTATTATCACTGTCGTGTCGGTCGGCTTATCTTGCCACCTTCTCTGCCCATAGAACATTGGAAGCTGTGGCTCCTGTCCTGGTCTATGTGCGCTGCCACGAAGAGCCCGCCTGTACAGCATGCCGCGCTCTAGCCCTGGCTGGAGCGTGTGGTGTTTCCCCGTAGTGACGCCACGCCGCCTTTGGGGAGGCTGCACGTTGGTGATGCACGCCCAGCCCCCCCGCTTTGCGTTTCGCTGGTCTAGGCGCCAGTCTGCAGCCAGCCAGTGCAACCGTCTCCCCGAGTATCCCCGCATCTCCTCGCTCGCGGCTCGGACTCTTTGGGCTGAGGAGGAAGCAAACTTCCTGTGTGCCAAGAATTATTATCATCATGCGACGAAAATTATGGCCGCAAATGCGTTCCCCCAGTGGTCCGGGAGAGCCGCCCCCCCC